CCGTGCCCCTGCCCCTGCCTGCCCCGCCACCGTTCTTCCCCGGCGAGGAAATCCCCGGGCGGAGGGAGGCTGGCAGCCGCCCGTCCCGGTCGATCCCCCTCCTGTCAGGGGGCCGAGCTGCCTCTAGCTTCGGAGCAGGGCGAGGGGACAGCACGGCCCCCAGCCCGGAGCTGCGGGGGGAGTGCCAGAGAACAAGCTGGGCGCGCCGGGGCCGCCCGGTACCCGGCGAACGGAGCGCTGAACCGGCCCTAGAGCTGCTCTCTCGGGTGAGATCTGAGGTGTGGCGATGTCCACCGAGACGTGCACTGCTCCGCCTGCAGCCAAGCCTGGAAGTGCCAGGGGTTTTTGAAGCAGGTTTAGCTTAAAGAGCCTGGGGCAGAGGCTCTCCTTTGCCTTCAGATAGGCTGCGGCCACAGCAGGAGTTAATACCAGCGATGAGCATGAACTTCTAAATTAAGCATGAACTTCATTAAGCATTTCTTCTGTCTCTGGAAACACCACTCTTGAGAAAAAATGCACCTCAACCATCAGCTGTGGGTAAAAGTTGATATCTGTACCCAGTGTCAGTGGAGACATAAAACTTGTCATGTGTGGGTAAATGTTGATATGTATATCCACCATTAAGGTGAAGACATCAAGTTTTATCTCACTCTAGATATATCAGGGGCTTTTCCTTACATTGATCATGTGCCCTACAAATTTTCACTGAACTATTAAGTTTACCTGCCTAAGGAAGTTACATGTAACATGCCTGTTGACATACACTGGAAGCAAAGGACTAATACATGAGTGAACATGTTTGCTTGTGGCCTGCCTGGAAAATTTCCCAGAATATGTATTTACTGTATTTATTTGTATTGTGTATTATGTAGTGTGTATTATGTATTCATTTGTATTCTGCTATATATTCATGTTCCTCTAAGGATATTTGTCCTGTAAATCCACCTTTCTGAAGGGGACTATTGCATAATGCTTTGAGAACATGAAGGCGTATTCTTCCCATGTGCTCTCTGTAGATCCTGGAAAGATTTAGTCATGAACTTAAGTGTTTGAATTGTTCCATGGAGTCAGTGGTCTGCCCGTGTAACTAAGGCTGAGTGCAAGTCTTTGCAGGAACAGGGCAAAGAAGCCCCTCAGAGATGGTGTTGTTACATTAATGTTTAAAATGCTTATGAAATAAATTGGAACTGTCTGTTTTCCTTTCTCTCTCTGCAGGCCTCGACCTACCAGGGAGATTTCTCTTTGCAACCTTGACTCTGATGACACTAATTGCGATTCTGGTATTTATAGAGGAAGCAGTCTACATCTACAGGAAAATCCCCTCCTCCAAAAGATCAATCATAATTTGGATTAATGCTGCAGCTCCAGTAAGTTAGCATGGGAATGAGATAAAACTGAATGTTGAAAGTAGGGTTTCCCAAAAAATCCCCATGAACCTGCTTTATCTCTGCCCTTCTTACAGCCCTTCCCCTTTCTCTGTAGGTGATTTCTACTACTTCATGCATTGGCATGTGGATTCCTCGCTCAACAATGTTTACAGATTTCACAGCAGGAATGTGAGTACTCTGCTTGTTTCTAGATGTTGCCCCAAACCCTGAATTTCTTCCCTTTAAACATCTGCTGCCCTTGGTAACACAGTCATTTTGTAAATTTAACAATTTAGTAATTTTTTGTTTGAGTTGAAATCTCTCAGCAGTTCTTTCCTGGGAGGTGGAGAATGCTGAAACAGTTCCCAGTGTCACAGTTCTCCAATGTGGGAATGTTAGCATGAAGGATCTGTGACTCGCATGTAATTGATCCTTCAGATTGACAGTCACTTTGAAGCAGTACTCTGTCTTTCCTCTCTCTGCATGTCATGGGAAATGAGAGTCTGACCTATGACTTCTCTCCTGCACTTTTACTAATAATGAGCCGTGGAGGTTTGTTATTAATGGTGGCAAGTGAACCTCCGATGAGTATATCAGTGTAAAAATGTTCCACAGTTGTCCTGATAAAAGCACTTTCTGTACAAGCATGACAGCTCTGGCATGCACAGAGAAGGGAGGAATGTGGTCCCTGATTTCTGGATATGATGGCACAGCCCTGATGGGCAGAACCAGGTCGGGGTTGCTGTGGCCTTGAGCACTCCACATTTTGGGATGACTTTGGCACACAGTGCAAGACAGCATCACAGACTTTCATGAGCTGTCTCACCCCATGTTACACTGAATTTACTAAAAGAGTAGAGTAAAAGAGGAGGGAAAACACTGTAGCAGGGAACACTGTCAGCATGCAGCAGTAGTGCAGGTAGTGCAGACTGCCAGAAACCTCCAAGTCCTGTGGCACTTCAAGTGTGTTTGAATTCCCCCCCCTCCCTCGCCCAATCTGCAGGCAGTGCAGCAGAAGAGGACCCCTTTTATTTGGCTGGATTTCCATGAATCAGTTCCTGGGAAGGGTTGAGAATGTGCAGATGGGGAAGGAGGGAGAGGGGGGGTTGAAGCAGTTGGTACTTGGATCAGCTTTGTCTGCAAAGGAACCACGCCCTGACTGGGCCAGCACATTTAATGATAGATGTATATATGAACCTAGCCACGTTTGTTGATTGGAAGCTGTGTTTGAGGAGGAAGAGGACTTGTTCTAAAAAGTTTGGACCAGTCAGGAATAGATAACTTATGGAAAAATAAAGCCATAATGACTTGGGTCAGAAAATCATGTGCTTTAATACTGACTCTGCCACCAGCCACCAGAGTGGCTTTGGGAAATTCCACAGTTGCTCCGTGCCTCGGTTTATTCCTCTCTCAGTGAGGTTAGGGCTGTTCTGGCCCTCTAAGATGAAGGAAAGTGGGAGGTTTCTCACAGATAGTGCCAGAATTTTTGTTGATTGCAAAGCATAAGCTGTAAAAATTAAAAACTTAGAAGGCAGCACTAGCCTGCGCAGGCATACGAGAGATACACAGGCAAGTTCAAGCTGCAATTCTCTTCCTCTCCTAGATTTTTTGCCATAGTTATCCACAAGTTCCTGATGATGATGATCAAAGAGTGCGGAGGTCAAAAGCTGCTCCTCAGGCGGTTTGAAAAGAGTCACTTCACGATCAGCACCGGCCCCTGCTGCTGCTGCTGCCTTTGCCTCCCTCGTGTGCCCATCACTAGGTGAGTTGCCCTTTAAGATTTCCCAGCTTGAAAACGGCTGCGGGAATTCAGCCAATTTGGCAAAGCCAGGCTTACAGCAAAGGGCCTCCCTCGCTTCCCCAAAGTCAGTTTCAAGCGTCTCTTTTAAACAGCGTTGTCACTTTGGGGCTGTACACCACCTCTAATTTATTTTGTTTCTATAAGGCAGGGGGTTGTGGGAGGAGGAATTTCTACTCTAGAAAGCCTAATAATTGAGATTTCAGTTTCTTTCTATTCCAGAAGGGAACAAATATCTTCAAACTGGGTATTTTTCACAAGCAGAATTGTCAGATGGAGACTGTCTTGATAGAAAATTTCTCTCACTTTGCTAAAATTTAAATGTTTCTTTCTGATTTTGACTTTAAAACTACTTCGGTTTAAAATAATTTTTACAACAAAAAGTAGGTGTAATTTCTGGAAAGTTTTGATCTCAATGAAATGGCATTATCTGATGAGGCAAAAGCATATGTTTTCTTCTAGTAAGTATTAAAGGATCTTTGAGAAGTGGAGTAAGGATAGAGAGCTGCACCTACAGGAGCCAATATAGACCTCTGTAACATAGACCTTGCCTGGTGGGGCTCCTCCTCTGGCTCGTGTCACTCTGTCATGTGCAGGCTGCTCCACAGCCTGGAAGCCTCATGTATTTCCCAGGGCTTTCCTACTGGCACAGAGCACAAGACTGTTTCTCTCATTATAAGCAAAATCTGAAGGACTGAATGTGCAAGACAGAGACTATTCTATGAGGGCGTGGACTTTAGTGTCAGAGGGACCTTGGGGACTTTACAATCTGTTAAAGGAAAGCATCAAACAGAACACAGCATAGTGGTTTCTGACACATTTTCAAAAATTCTTATTTTTTACTATATTAATTCTTCCTTAAACTTCCCCATTTGGTATTAGAATTTAAACTCTTGTTTCCATCATTTTGTTTTAACAGAATAACACTAAATATTTACATGGCGGGGGTACCAAGTAGTAAACCAACTAAAAAATGTATCTTTATTTGTTTTTCTTCCTGTGTCTGTCACCCTCTGTATAGGTTGTGGTAACTGGGAGCTTGGGAGAGGATCCTGTACTATGCCCTGCCTGCTGTTGGTCAGTCCAAAGACAGCTTATGCAGGATGATATTAGCTAATATGGACTCATTTCAGGAACTAGATAATGCCTACTGCTGCTGGGAGGAAGGACAGCTGTGTGTTTAAAAAAAAAGGCTTTTTGATCTGCAGAGGGCTTTTGGCTTCTCTGTAGTACTGGGAAATCCATCTGCTCTCTGCTTCTAACTTCCAGCCTTTTCCCATTACAGGGTGACTTTTTTTTTTCTTTTTCAAATACGAGCAAGCTATACCAGAGCAAAGTCAATCTCATGTCCTCCTGTAGGTATCTTATGGGGAAACAGGGAGGTACTCCAAGGGAGGGATTTGTTCTTTTAAAAAAACATAGGCTATCAAGCAGTCCTGGGAAAAATAACAAGGTACAGGTGAGGCAGGGTAACAAGTAGTGCAATGGAGAGAGATGTGGCAGAAGAAATCTGATGGTCAACAAAGATAGACCCACATTGAATCATAGAATCAGCCAGGCTGGAAAGGACCTCCAAGATCATCAAGTCCAACCCTTGATCTTCTACCACTGCGGTTACCAGCCCATGGCACTAAGTGCCACATCCAGTCTCATCTTAGAAACCTCCAGGGATGGAGAATCCACCACTTCCCTGGGCAGCCCATTCCAATGCCTGATTACCCTCTCTGTAAAGAATTGACAAGGGAAACAACTCATGGCATTGCAATGACTGCACTGTTTGTCATATTTATTATTCTTTAAAGCCCTTTGGGAATAATAAATCTTTTAAAAAGCACACACTAAGTGGCTGGTCCATTGCAGGTCTTTTCACATGTGTTTGTGCTGTTCATAATCCTGTGGTTATTAGCTATATTCATTGAGCAATTCCTATAATTTCTGGTTCATGGCTGTATTCTGTAACATATAAATGTTTTCTGCTGAGGCATCTCTCATGGCAGACTCAAGGGCCCAAGGAGCTACAGTGAAGATAACATTGACAGTATAGGAAATAATACACAGGAACAGACTTAAAACATGAGCCATATGTAGCAGCTATAGCTTGTCCTGTGAAGACTAAAGGAGATTTCAGGTCAGTCAGCTTTCATCCCCTCTGTTAGAAAGTTCGTTTGCCCCTTTCCTGCTGGCCTTTAATGCTGCCTGGCCAGGTTACTGTGTATGGGCTGTGTTCTGGACCCAGTTTATACTGACAGAGGTGAGGAAATCCTGAGCTGTCCTGCTGACCTTGTGCAGTTTGCCAAGTGAAAGACAGTTCCTTTCTTCTGTTAGACTGCAGCGGAGCAAAACCATATGCTTATGTGGTACTATTCATGATGTATTGAAAAACTACCAGTCCTTTCACCTAGGTCTGTATGATTCCCTTTCTTGATCTACCACAGGACTAGAAAGTGTCTCAACAGGAAGGCTGAATTGCCCAACTTCACCAGAGAACTGAAATAATAATACAACAAGGCAAGAGCATTATTGTTCAGAAACCGGTTATGCTGCTACTGGCTCCCTGGTTAGCTTCAGGACAGAGAAAGACATCACATTTTGCCCAGTATGTAGTTGCTACAGAGCAGGAAAAGTACTATTTTTGTAGAGACTTTATTAAATAAACACTGGGAAATTCTTGGAAAGATATTCTAATCTTGAAGCTGTTCCTTCTCATATTTTAGCCACATACTACAGGAGTGGAAAAGTTTTGCAGTTGATAGTATCCAAAAAATGTTATTAAGGTTGCTAATAAGATCTTGGTCTATCTAATTTTTTTTTTTATTTTTGTTTTTTGGCCAGGCAAACCCTCTTTTGGCTGAAGGTGGGCACCTTTCAGTTTGCTGTCTTTCGACCTGTGCTCGTATTTTTATCAATAGTGCTTTGGAGTAATGGCAATTACCTCCTTGACAATGTAAGTAAATATTTTAATCAGAGGTGGTCCACAAAATCCATAGGTTTTAGGGTTGATGTTACTGTCTCAGCCTACAGCTGACCTGTGAAATCTGGGAGCACTTCCAAGTAAGTCTTTACTGTATTCTTTTTGACCTTGAAGCATATAATTTCTGCCTTCTAGACCCTCAATTTCCTGTCTTCTCTTGGAAAGAAACTGGGCATCAGGGTATGTTTGGCATCAGACATGCTCCAATACATTTCCCAGTTTGTATGGTTAGAATAGCGGGACTACAAGTTGCCCTGTGTGATGTACCTGCCCTGTGTTTTTTAAAGGTACAGCCTTAAGAAAAAAGTGCATGTACTAGCACGTGTAAACAGGAAGCCTAATTCTATGCTTTTCTGCAAATCATGGTGATTTTTATATCTGTGCAAAGTAGAGAAGATAGTGCTGTACTTCTGCTTTGTCCCATGTAACCTGCAAGATGATGGAGAAGTCTGTGACTGATAATAATTTTGCACCTCTTAGACAACTGAGATTAAAAGTAATTCTTTTTTTGTTGTTTCATGGTATAAAACAAATGACCCATTTGAGATGTCACGTTGGATATGTTCTCATGAGCTGCTGAGCGTTGTCAGCTGCTTCTGGGGTCAGATTGAGGGGTTGTGTCAACTGGTACCTTCCCAGGCTGAACAGATTTCCATGTTGATGCCTGTTGGGTGAGAGCATGAGCCAACAGTTGGTTCTGTGCAGTTTCCCCATGCAAAGCCCAGCAGCTGCTGCTGCCACCAGCTTTCATGGAGATGGGAACAAGCATTTGAACATCTGGATCGTCTAGTTCACAGCTTCTTCCTGGAAACAGTAAAATGCAAAGTAAGGTTCTATAAGGTGCTCTTGTTTTATTTGCTTCTCAGTTATCTCCCAAAGAACCTGCGCTATGGATCAACATCTTCATGGGTGTCCTTACCCTTACTGCTCTGTGGGCAGTTGGAATCGTGTTTCGAAAGGTTAGGACTCTCCTTACCTGTAAGAACATTATCCCAAAGTTTGCCCTTTATCAGGTGAGAAGTTTAATATTTCTGGTAAGAATTTTTCTTAACTGCTGATGCAACACTGTCTCTCTAGTTCTTGGTCCCTCATTGAAAAGTTACAATATTTTCTCCCATTAAATACAGTGTGCAAGGGCGTATTTTTAGCTGATTAAAGCTGCATTTATTTGAAGGACTCTCCTTGGCTGCTGTTCAGTTTTGTCTTGAGCCAATTTACCTCTTGTGTCTTAGAAGTGCTGGAGATGTGAAAGACACATAAAATCTGTCTATCTTTATACCAGATAAAGTATAAAATCACACCATCTGCGGGGCTTGAAGCTTTGTTGATGTGGTATCACAAAATGCAATGTTAAAATGTTAGTGTGTGTCTCTAAAAATCAGGAGAGGATATATTGCATTGTGTGGGTGGCTGTTGTTTGAAGCATTTCAGCATGCCACAATATTCTGTTTTAACAGTATTTTTCTTGGCCATTCTGCATTTCAGGGTTAGATAATAATGAAACTTATTAATGTCTGGAAATTGTTATATAGTAAGGAATAGAACCAGATACGTTAGACTGAACAAGCACAGGGACAAGGCCACGCTCTTCCTCATAACCTTGAAAAGAGTGCAGAAGAATCCTTGGTTATGCATATTTCTTGAGCAGGACATAGAAAGGTTGGTGCACTAAGGTGTCTGTTAAGTAAATTATTAAGCACTTATAACAGATGGTCATACCTGCAAAGATGTGTTAGGGTGAATTCAGGCTTAGGATGGCAAACTCTGGTACTGTGAGGGTTTATACTCAGGCAGCTACAGAAATACTTTGGTATCTCCACAGTGGCAAAGGCCTTTCTCAGAGAGTAGCAGGTAATATGATGCACAGGTGATGGTTGCTGGATTCAAGAGGCAAAGAGTCCTTCCTACCTCCTAGAAAGAAGCCAGTCCCATATAACCTGGGGACTAGGATGTCTCCCTGCTGTGGCAAAAAGAGGAGACAGCAGAAAAAAACATTCTTTGAGTTCTTGAGAATATAAGCTCATAGGTCAAATTAACAGGCAGTTTTTAAAACCTTGTTACCTGTTATTCAGAGCTCAGCATCATTTAAAATCCTAGCTGGGAGGTTTGTGCATATTGTACCTCCCAAATGAAGGGCTGAGAAGAAGCACTTTTCAAGTTGAGCTATAATTTAATACTCATCTTCAGAGCAATATCATCCTGACCTTAAGATGAATGCTGCAGAATGGCAGGCAGCCTGCTGGTAGATGAGAGGAGAGGGAGGGCAAGAAAGGAGGAATGAGGCAAAAGAGGTTCTGTTATGAAAGCAGAATTGGTGTGTGAACTATAAATCCTTTTCTGGTAGCTCAGGCATTTGTTTTCTCTTTCTGGTGCAGTTTATTGTTGTTCTGAACCACCTGCAGACCGTTATTATCCGCATGTTGGCCACACAAAGAATCATTCCCTGTGCTCCACCACTCTCCTCTACAGCCAGAGCATCATGTAAGTTTCTTTGAGAAGAATGTTTTTCATTTACTTATAAAGGTGCCAGTTCAGCGTTGCTAACTGCAATATCTGGTGTTTTCCCAAAGAACTAATTTCCTGGGATCATTAGCTTTTCAAGAATCTCAGTTTTTAGTTAAAAAAACAAGAATAAAAGTTTTATAGCTGTGACACTCATAGAGAAAAACTTGTTAATGAGAAGAGATGGAATCAGAAGTGAGAGGAAAAGAAATCAAAATGCATAATTGCTGTTAATTCTCTTATGTTTTTGATTCATAATTTATTGCATGCTTACTGATGGGCAATACTGGAATTCTGTAGCTGATGTTGCTGAGCATGAGACATACAGGGACTGAATGGTAAAGTTTGTTCCCTTTGCACAGGTGAAAATTAATGAATTAATGAGCTGGGTATTAATTTTGCATCTGATAGTAATCTCCCCCTTTGGGGGGCTTTTCTTTGCCTCTTTTTTTTTTTTTTGGCAGATATAGCCCAGCAGCTTCTCATCATGGAAATGTTTCTGATAACTGTAATCTCAAGAGTCATATATCGGAGAAAATACCATGACCTGGAGCCCCTGGAGTGCACAGATGAAGAAGCTAGGGACAAGAAGCAGACTTCTAAGATTATCCTGAATGGTGCAGTTGTTGAAGATGGCTTGCCAAAATTCTGCAATAAGCCCTCCTGTTCTGCAGTAGCTGGAAGCTCAGCTCAGGAATCTGTATATTCTTGCACCACAAGTAGCCACTGTCCATGTCAGAACAACTTCTGACACAAATGTCTGTGAGCTGTAGAACTGCAAGGACCAGTAGTGGAAAGATAACCCTGTTCATTCTCCAGAGATGCAAACATGGTGTGAGTGTTTTCATACCATGTAATTTAGTAAGATTTTATACCATGTACTTTTATGCTGTTACTGAGCACTTGAGGGTGCCAAACTGTCAATGTGATTTTTTTTATTTTTATTTTTATTTTTTAGCTATTAGAATGGATATGATTTAGAGTTAATCCAGAGACATTCTTGTTCATCTTTTTTATCTTTTTAAAATCTAATTTCACCCTGCATTGCTGTCATATGTCCAAAGCAGCATTTTCTCATCCTTTCTCCATTACAATAGATCATTTCCCACTCCCTGCCATGAGCTCACTATAGCTAATTCTGATCAGTAAATACAGTTGCATATGTTTGATCTGAAATCCCCAAACCTGTGTGGGCTCTCCATCTACAGAAATCATGATCTTTTTAGGGCAAGACTTTTTACATTCCTTGGCAATGCAGCTCCTAAATTGGTAAATACACAATTACTGTTTGTAAATATGTTACTGACAGATGCTCTTCCTGATGATGAACCTGGGATGGCAGGTTCTCTGTCACTGTCCTGGAAAAAGAAAATAGGAGTTAGAGTCTGGGATGTCTTCTGCCACTGGTCTGTAATGTTACATGGTGCTTTGGTTCTCTGCTTGGAAAGTGGGAGAGATATTTAAGATCTTTGTACTAACAGTGTCTGTGGGGATGAGAGCAATTGAAAGGAATGTTGGGGGTGCTGTTTGACAGCTGTCTGAATGTGAGCCAGCAGTGTGCCCAGGTGGCCAAGAAGTCCAATGGCATCCTGGCTTTTATCAGAAAAAGTATAGCCAGCAGGACCAGGGAAGTGACTGTCCCTCTGTACTCAGCACTGATGAGGCCACACCTCGAATCCTGTGTTCAGTTTTGGGCCCCTCACTACAAGAAGGACATTGAGGTGCTGGAGTGTGTCCAGAGAAGGGCAACGGAGCTGGTGAAGCGTCTGGAGCACAAGTCTGGTGAGGATCAGCTGAGAGAGCTGGGGGTGTTTAACTTGGAGAAAAGGAGGCTCAGGGGAGACCTTACTGCTCTCTACAACCACCTGAAAGAAGGTTGTAACAAAGTGGGGGTTGGTCTCTTCTCCCAAGTAACAAGGAAAAGGATGAGAGCAAATGGCCTCAAGTTTTTTCAGGGGAGGTTTAGATTGGGTATTAGGAAAAATTTATTCACCAAAATGATTGACAAGCACAGGAACAGGCTGCACAGGGAAGTGGAGTCACCATCCCAGAAGGTATTTAAAAGGCATATATGTGGCATTTGGGGACATGGTTTAGTGGTGGACTTGGCAATGCTAGGTTAACTGTTAGACTTGATGATCTTAAAGATCTTGATCAACCGAAATGATTTCATAATTCTATGGAATCTCCTCCCACAAACGCTCACCTCCCCAGCTTCTTCACCCCAAATCTGACCTGCCCAGGCATTCAGGAGGACTTAAAGTGTTACAGGGTCTTTCCAATTTGCAACCATTTCTGTGTTTGGTATAAACCTTTTTTAACTTTTTGCAAATGATCCTGATGTTCTTGGATGAACCTAATTGCATTGGTTTAGCTCACTATAATTAATAAGAGGATACTGTGTTTACTATGCATTTGGATATTCTGTTGGTTGGGCAGGAGGTGCAGCACCACATATGAGCACTTGTTCATCCTCATGCAGTCTGATCCCTAGAGGGAAGTACCCAATCCATGCAGTAAGATTGCTGATTCCATAAGTAGGCTGGGCAAATGTTGTAAAATATTTTAATGACATCTTCTACATATATTGTATCAAATACAACTTATCATCAGAGCAAAGCTAGGCAGATAGAAATATAGTATACTTTGGGTTCAAAGGGATCTTAGAAGGTGATCTAGGTCTAGATGCCCCCTGCAGTGAGCAGGGACATCTTCAACTAGATCAGGTTGCTCAGAGCTCCATTCAACCTGACCTTGAGTGTTTCCAGGGATGGGGCATCTAGCACCTCTCTGGACCACCTGTTCTGGTGTTTTACCACTCTCATTGTAAAAAATTTCTTACTTATATCCATCCTAAATCTACCCTCTTGTAGTTTAAAACCATTACCCCCTTGTCCTATTGCAACAGGACCTGCTAATCTTTCTTGTAGTTCCCTTTAGGTACTGGAAGGCCACAATAAGATCTGCCCAAAGCCTTCTCTTCTCCAGGCTGAACACTCCCATCTCCCTCAGCCTGACTTCACAGGGTGAAGGGCTCCAGCCCTTTGATAATTTCTGTGGCCCTCTTCTGGACCCACTCCAACAGATAATGGGGCTTTATTTTTAGCTTACATTGAATTTAAAAAATGGCTTTCAGTTTGGGGAGTGGTGGGAAATGAAATGTTCTGAAAACAACTAATGAGCCATCTGGCAGTAGAAAGTGGGGCTGAATTAAACAAAATGTTTTCTTCTTTCTGAGATCAGAAATAATATTTTCTTTAACAACTTAAGGATTCCATTATAGTAGAAAACTTGCATTATTTTTGTTTGGAAGTGGTTAAGTAATTTTTATATTTAATCTCTTCTTCTAAGCGGGCAGTCTGGGAAATTAATACAGATTTTTGAACTGCATTAATATGAGAGAATCTGCACACTTTTCCCTTGAAATATGATTTATGTGAAAAATTTCACTCTGCATTAGAGTGTGTGCATTCAAATTAACTGAGATCAGCTAACATGTTCTAGACATGAGAAATCTTCTTAGTGTATTTTAACATTATGGCTATGGGAATATTCTAATGTTGCCTTATATCAGTGTAGTCTGGGCCGCAGTTACATACATAGGCTTGCAGAGCAATACTGAATTTGATAGTGACATTGGGAATGGTTGGCTCTGAGTTCAATCAGCTTCAAAATTGGAAAATAAAATATTTTGACTTGGTGAAGCATCTTTGTGTTTTCTGTAGTGGTTCTGCAAAAGGCATTGCCTTGATGGGTGGGCTTTGTGGCAGGGAAAGCAGATCCCTGTGCCATAGCACGGAGAGTGCATACAAAAACAGATGGAGTGTGTGGAGAAGTGGTGTCTGTGCTGCTCCAGAGAAGGCAGCTGCTGGGGCACAGCAGGAGTTCTTTACTCCTCACTGGTGGTCTGGTATCTGTTGTGTCTCTGGAGCGCCTGTTAAAGATATCTTGTTAACGCCAGTGTGGGCCTGATTTAGCCACAGGTTATGGTTTTGGATAGATATTTAATACTTGTTGTGACCTTCATCTGACATATTTCAGCAAAAAAGACTTCAAGCAGACTTCAGATTTGGCAGCAAATCTTTTTACTGTGTGCAGTCATGGACATCTCATTCCAAATACCACTTACTTACACAGAAGTCTTTCCAGAGCAAAATTAGACGCACATTTTCTTAAATACATGGCTAAGAGCTTTCCTGATTTAGAGGTTATGTGAATGCAGCAGAATGTATGAATGTGTGGGTCTTATTGCTACAAATTTCTTTTTCTTTTTTTCTTTTTTTCTTTTTTTTTTTAATTAAGAATTTCTCGCCCTCCTCTGGCTCAGACCAGTAACTGTATCTTGCCTAATTAAGGTGGGTGTCTAGGTAGGTGCCTAAGGAGCAAATAGCCAGGGGCAACATGTGGCCTCTATTGCAGTGCCTTCATTCAGGCGCTCTTCAAATGAAAACATAGTAAATCACCACCTCCAAGGTGGACCTTAGTCAGTCTGAGTATGGAAAAACAAAACAGAAAGCCGGAAGTGCCTCCACTCTCAGTTCTGATAATGATCCCTTTCAGGTCAGCAAAAAAATTCGCTTTCAATTACGTGTTTGTGATTGAAGAATTTGAAAACAGTTACCAAGAGCTAGAAGATAAATTTCACAATTTGATACAGCTCATTTGATACAGCTGTTGTAAAGCAATGAGTGTTAAGGTGAGTGCGTAACCTTTATGCCATGTTTGCTTGGGATTATCATGTGAGGAAGGGTAAAGGTAACTTTATCAGTGTCTTTTGTGATTAATAACATTAAACAGAAAGATAAGCATACACAGAGGTGTGTGACTGATGTTTAAGAGACTTCAGATGTCGCTGATAATGTCGGAACAGCCAAAGCAACACAGTCCAGGTGTGAGGTGAACAGGAAGCTGTTTATTGCTCTCAAGTGTTTCTTTTATACTCTTTGTACACTATCGTGCCACAACACAATTGGTCAAAAGTCTCAAGCATAAAAAACTGTAGACACTGCACACACTCTTATTGGTGACACTGAAGACACTGTCCATGCTGTGACATGCTATTGGTGACACTATACACATTTTAATTGGTGACCTTTGGTCTGGGCTGCATTACGTTTGTTCCGTCTGGCATTACAGTAAATATTTCCTAAAAGCTGGTTATATTCCTCATCACTAATTGCCAGGCTGCTGACAGGTTCTCTGTCAACCCCGACATTCAGACATTTGGAAATAATTCATGAGAACAGGGGAAAAGATGTCATGTTTTAGGTGCCCAGGTGCTAAAGATGCAGGCAGGAGGGTGAGCACTGAACATGAAGTCTCCTGGAGTGTCATGTAGGGGAATGTAGCATGAACAACCCACAAAGAGGTGAGAGAATGAACTCTAGCACCTTGTAACATTGCAGGAGGAGGCTGGCAAAGAGAAGCTGCTCAGTGCTCTTTTTCATCGGTCCTTCGAGTTGTTATTTTTAAGGCAACACTAACTGAATCCCCCCTGTTCCAGAAGACCATGGTGTGGGCTCCTGTTGGTTGCAGCAGAGGCAGTGCTGGAACCTTGAAGAGGTTTCCCCAGCAGACCTCTTTGCAGTGGCAAGCTTGTCATGTCATTGTGTTTCTCACATGTCAGCAGCAAAGGCCTCATGACTTAATACCCAAAGGATGTGTTTGAGGTGCTGGCTATAGACCTTTCTATCCCTATATCCAATTGTCCTCTCTGCTCCTGCACCCTCACACTTGTCCCTGCCTCATTCT